AAATCACATGATAAGCTTTTTTTTTCCATATAATGGAACTGTATGATATGCTTTTTTTTTCCATTCAATGGAATTTTACCATAATGATTTTTGCCATTCAATGGAATGGTATGATAAAAACTTTTTAAGGATGAATTTTGCATAAAACTTAGTTCTGATTGATCATAGAAAAAAATGAGGTAAAAACTAAATCTTAGCCCAGCCCAACGTGCCAGTCTCTCAACAGAAGATAAAAACTACAGAAAATTTGAGAGGTTTGAAACTCTGTTACTGTGTTTCCTGTAAAGTTCTCTCCTCAAATTGGAGACAGCAGACGGTTTACTCTTAGTGGGAAACAACACCAGGGGAAGGGTTGCCTCATACTAATTAAATTAAATAAAATTACTGACAAGAAATTGAAGACGCTATTCCAAAGTTTTTAAGAAGCCATTCGTCATCTAAAAACAAACTAAGAATGTGTAAATGTTGTTTACTTTTTTGAAACAGTGTTTTTTTGAATTTTTGATTATGTCCGAAGGAATTTATTTAAAACAGACGAGTCACCGCAAATAATTTACATCAAGTTCAACATTGAAGCGTTGATTTACCTATTTACGATTTAGAATTCTTGGAATCGTTATTATCACATTTTTTTTCTTTCAAAAAATCAAAAAATGATAGTTATGCAATTCTCATAGAAAGGAAATTGTATGATAATCATCTTTCGTCCAAAAAAGTAGTCATTAAATCGAACTAAATAAAAAAATCTAGCTCGGAACCTTCTGTGCTACTTGCACAGCAACCGGCTATCTTTGTTACCATTTGGATCCTGGTCAATCGGCTCCCAGTTGTCTTGGTGTTATTCTTCTCCGACGTCGTTTTTTCCTCTACTTCCTGTTGGTTTTGATCCCGAGGATCTTGCTGTGTCTGTTCATTATCATTCGCTGGCAGACTGGGCATTAAAAGGTCACCCACTGCTTTGAATTTATATCTTTTGTGGATTAATATCACAGACTCCCATCCAAAGGGAGCTAGATGGTCTCTAGTCAGTAAACTAACGGAATGGATGTTTTTCTGACATAAGGTACATCATGATTTCCTCCGTTAGGAGGCTTGATTTTACCCGTACGACAAATGTGTTGAAGTTCAGGTTTGTCTACTCTTCTGCAAACATTCCTAATTTGAGAGGGGCCAAATTGATCATCCTTCTTCTAAACGATTCCTCCGGGAACGCAAACAACCTTTTATGCTGTGCTGCAGCGTTTATCTTTACGAATCACGGATACATTGTAACGGCAAAGTCGGTTCTTCTTCTTTTGTTGGTTTAAAACACTTGCGGCTGTGTTGCATTAGTCGACTCAGAGCAAGTTTGTTCTATTGAGAGGGCACTCCGGAATTTCTTTGGGTTATTCCTAGAAGTCGTCCCAAGTCTTTCCTGACACTCTAGTGCGCTAACGACCACTTCCGTCTTCTCGTTACTTTGCCGTTTCCTGTTTGCCAAAAATGACTTAATATAACCAATTCTACACAAAGAAATTGTTAAGTTTAAACTTATTTTTTCAATTTGAGTAACTACTGGTGGGATTTTTTTTGCATCGTGTTTAGCTGCAAAAGTTTTAATACCCCGGGTTGACAAAAAATGCTTATCATGCAATAACATACTATGGGGAAAAAAACTTATCATGCGATTCCATACAATTCCATAGAGAAAAATTGTAAGAAAATCACATGATAAGCTTTTTTTTTCCATATAATGGAACTGTATGATATGCTTTTTTTTTCCATTCAATGGAATTTTACCATAATGATTTTTGCCATTCAATGGAATGGTATGATAAAAACTTTTTAAGGATGAATTTTGCATAAAACTTAGTTCTGATTGATCATAGAAAAAAATGAGGTAAAAACTAAATCTTAGCCCAGCCCAACGTGCCAGTCTCTCAACAGAAGATAAAAACTACAGAAAATTTGAGAGGTTTGAAACTCTGTTACTGTGTTTCCTGTAAAGTTCTCTCCTCAAATTGGAGACAGCAGACGGTTTACTCTTAGTGGGAAACAACACCAGGGGAAGGGTTGCCTCATACTAATTAAATTAAATAAAATTACTGACAAGAAATTGAAGACGCTATTCCAAAGTTTTTAAGAAGCCATTCGTCATCTAAAAACAAACTAAGAATGTGTAAATGTTGTTTATTTTTTGAAACAGTGTTTTTTTGAATTTTTGATTATGTCCGAAGGAGTTTTTTTAAAACAGACGAGTCACCGCAAATAATTTACATCAAGTTCAACATTGAAGCGTTGATTTACCTACTTACGATTTACAATTCTTGGAATCGTTATTATCACATTTTTTTCTTTCAAAAAATCAAAAAATGATAGTTATGCAATTCTCATAGAAGGAAAATTGTATGATAATCATCTTTCGTCCAAAAGAAAATAGTCATTAAATTCGATGATCAAAGTGATTTCCATTATTAAAAAACCAATTTCGGCTTACTTGAACTTGCGTCAATGCTTTTTTGAAAAACAAACAATATTTCATAGAATGGAAATTGTATGATAATCAATTTTTGTCAAAAAAATGAAAAATGGGCCATTTTGATCTAACTTAATCCTAAAACGAATCAAGCTATTTTATACTTACCAAAAAATTCTTTTTAAAAAGTTTTCCTGAAAAAAAAAATTTAACGAAAAAAGTTGCTTATCATACAATTTTCGTTCGTAAATGTAAATGCTGTGATAAGCATTTTTCCATAAAACCCATGCATGGAGTTGTATGGTAAGCGTTTTTTAATGGAAAAGTATGATAAACATTTTTTAAGTGTGGTGGTCAACCCGGGACGGCTCAATTTTATAAACAAATTAGACATTACGAGGCCAAACTGTGCACTGGATAAGCGCAAACTTTTGTGTCATATGTTCCTGGATTCAAAAGACAAGTATATAAGTAAGTTCCAAAATGTAAGCGGATTCCACCTACAAGATTTACATGGATTCCGCGTACAAATACTTGTAACGTAAGTTTTGTCGGCACATCTAATTTGTTGCGGATTCCGCAACAAGCAAATATAACTAGTTGTTCTGGATTCCGCAACTGTAAGTGGATTCCGCAAAAAGTAAGTGGAAACCGCAAATGTAAGTGGAATCCGCACAATTTGTAAGCGGGATCCGCAAACTGTGAAGGAATTCAGAAATTTGCTTTTTTTAATGAACTTGCATATGCACTGGCGGAATTTAGAAGCAAGGGATTAACCATTGTCAGCGGAATCCACGTACAAATCTCAAAACATCGGTCAACTAAATTGATGGATGATGTCACACTTTAATATTTGCAAGCAGGTTTTGGTATCATAGTTTTGGAAACACAACACCAAATAATTTCATTGGGCTAATTCGATAATTGGGTTATTTCATTATTGGGCTGACAAATTGCCAAATTAGGCCACTATGTGGGATTCAGTAATTGAGATTCGGTATTTTGGCTTTTGTATTCGAGATTCAGTCTTTGAGAGCGTGAATTCAATTCAATTTGTTCACAGGGAGTGAATAATCTATTTAATTAATTTGAGTAAATAAGTTTCAGATAAAAATTAAAAAAACTTGAATTACAGCAGAATTTATTTTTAAGTTCAAAAACACGAATATATAGTCCTGAAAATGTTGCTTTATTTAACTAGGTTCTGTTGTCGCATTTTGAAAATATTTCAAAATCGCTAAATTAAAACTTTTGTTTTAATTGAATAGCTCGAAATGAACTGATGAACAAGTTTACAGGAATTGAGATCGAAGTTAAATTTTGTAGGATGTGAGATTGAAGCTGGGTATGTTTGACAGGAATTGAGATGAGAACGATGTTGCGTATGTTTGTCAGAATTGAGATCGAAGTTGGATATGTTCGACAGGTTTCGAGATCAAAGTTGGGTGTTTGACCGGAATTGAGATCAAACATTTGGCATTCCAACTGGTAGCTGATTAACATAGTAATTAAAAGATATAGTTTTAAAAGCTACTATACACACAAACCAAATTGCGGATTCCACTTACAGTTTGCGGATTCTACTAACCTTTTGCGGATTCCATTTACAGTTTGCGGATTCCGCACCAGCTCTATTCATTTATACACATCTCTTGTTATTTGTGCGTGGATTCCGCAAACTGTTCTGGATTCCGCAAATACGGTTACGTTTCCGCAAATTCGCCTTTTTGGAGCAATTTTGAACGGTACAGTGTTTTAGGTATTTGTTTGTGGAATCCAAAACAGCAAAGAAGATCAAAGAAAAGTCGCAATGTTGTGGATTCCGCGACAAATCTGATTTGAGCCTGTTGCGGAATCCGCTAACAATGCATATAATGCACAGTTTGGCCTCGTAATGGATATTGTGGTAAAACATCCATTTTTTTATCCGTAAAAGTATTACTTATTCCACGTCCGTTTTAATTCTTTGTTAGCAAAATGGTAGGCAAAAATGTCGTTTAATTTTTTATCGGAATGTTTTATTAAGAAAATGGTTTTTGTTTTGACGCGCACCCCCTAAAATTTAGTACACTTTGCCGCTAGAGGTTCCAAAAGACACTTCCCTTTGTCAGTGATTTGACCCAACTGTTTCACCTTCAAATTTCTACTGGCGCTTTTGGCGGCAACGTATACAAGTATAAAGGGGCCAAAACAAGTACCGTTTTTTTAAAATCAAAATATTCCAAAAAAAACACAACGGCTCTGTTGCATACCATTTTACAGGTAATTGACCGGACTTGGAATCAGTAATATTTTAACGAACATGAATCGATGTGTTACCAAAACATCTGTTTTTTATAAAATCGATTCGAAAGCTGTAGTTAATTAGAAATTGCAACAGAATCCAAAACAGAAAGCAGAAGTACAAACCAAAACGGAGCTTGGCAACATTAAAAGTTTATTTGGTCTGCTCATGACTTATATATTAACTTTTGCATGCAATTTTTCTTGTCCTTTTACATATATGTTTAAAACCGTCAAAACCATTTTTAATTGTCAACTCATTGTATACTTTCATTGTTTGGTTTTTAATTCACACATATCGAGAAGCTTCGTGCAATTTGGCTTCACTAAACCATTATCAGCATTAGTTTAGAGAAAGCAAAACATTACATCCGAGAAAGGTAAGAAATTAGAAAAAATACATTTGCGTAAAACTAGCTCCTAATGTTTTTCATAGCAAGCTCCTAATGTTTTTCATAGCAAAAGAGCCAAAAGGTCATGAAGTCAGCATTTTACTCGACAAAATGGCAATCCTATTTTTTTATTGAAAGATCTGCTTAGATTTTTCCGCTCATCGCAAAATTTAATTTAGCCCACTGTTAGCAATGTTAGCAAAAAATGTTATCAGCATTTTTGGTAATATTGCAAACAATGGGGTAAAAAAAATCATGCGTTGAGCGGAAAAATCAAAACAGATCTTTGAATATTACAAAAATTAAGGCAGCCATTTGTGTCTTTTTTTATATATCAATGAAACAGTTGTGATAGTGTGAAAATTGGTGGCGATAGTCTGCAAATAATTCACAATAGTTTGAAACAAAAGCGGTCGGTCGAACAAACCTCCCCTGTCGGACTCATTCCAAACGTTCTTCCTCTGTTCAACACAGTGTAAGTTTTTCCCTCGGAAGAGAGAGCATAGTCGAAACACAAATAACTACACGGTCGATACGGTCCAAATATATCGAGACTGGTTCGAACGGTCGAAATGACGACATCTCAACTTTTGATCAATTCGGCCGAAGCTTAAATCGCAAACTTCGGTCCGGGAGGTCTAACACTCTGCAAAGCAGTTGCAAACGTTTAAAAACTGAATATAATGTGCCAGCGAGGTTATTAACACAATGCGTATATCTTGGTACACATTGTTATCGTAAATCTTGGTCTCAGAATTTGAGAAAAAAAGCAACCAAAAGAGCGGTTCTATTAAAAGAGAATTATGGGAGATTTCAATCACTCTGGCATTCAGTTTTATTCAAAAGTTTGAAGAATATTTACAGAACTTTTTTTTCTAAGAAAATTTACCAATTGAAATTGAAGAATTTACAAAAAAAATCAGATAATGAGCAAACAAAAACAAAACTCAAGTCATGAGAAATTACGTCCCTAGTCGATCAAGGGATCTTAATTTGCAAGATCTTGCAAGAATCTTGCAAGATCCTTTTACAGAGGATGCATCTCTTTAAAAGATCTTGCAAGATTCTTGCAAGATCTTGCAAGATAACCTCCTTTAAAGATAACCTTTTTTTTGCAAGATCTTTAAAGATATAGTTTTTTTGGGCAATCACAGCTTTACACGCGAAGACAACCAAGTAGCGTTCGTGGAAGAAGGAGGCAGTCTTAGCTACGCATACATACACACAGCCCGCTAGGCGGTTGCCCCCAGAAAGCTTCTTTTTTAAAAACTTTTTTTTTGTAATAGGCGTTTTCAAGTTTTGATCGACTACTTATACCTTAATCTTTCAAAATAGGAAAAACACAATGTACATCAATTGAGAACATAAATTTAACGAACTAAATACAAGCAAAGATTAAGCACAAGATGAAAATTAGGTTTTTTCTAATTCAGTTTTTTCACACAATCACGTTAATCGAGATGAGCTGATGGACTCTCAAAATAGGAAAAACTGATTAATCTTTCAAAATGAGCAGATGAGCTGATTAATCTTTCAAAATAGGAAAAACACAATGTACATCAATTGAGAACATAAATTTTGTGTTATTTTTTTGTGTTTTTCGACAGAAATTTTGGGATAGTTATCTTGCAAGATTTTTGCAAGATTCTTGCAAGATAGCCTCCCTCTTCCAAGATTCTTGCAAGATAACCTCCATTTTGCAAGATCTTGCAAGATAACCTCCATCTTGCAAGATCTTGCAAGATAACCCTCTTTTGCAAGAATCTTGCAAGATCTTGCAAGATAACCTCCCTTGATCAACTAGGGGTATACTGAATACCCCAGATTACCCGGGTTGACCTCCATACACCGAAAATGCTTATCATACATTTCCATACTTACCATACAATGCTTATCATACAAATAAAAATCATTATCATACAAATCCATACATCAAGTGTATGGAGAAAATGCTTGTCATACAATTTTCATACATTATCGAAAAACAATAGAAACAAAATTAAACCGTTTCTGCGGCTTTTTGAGAACAGTTGAACAGACGGGTGACAAGAAAAACTGATTGAAAACTTTTTTTGAAAAAAAAAAATCCTTACCATACAATTTCCATAAACGACACAAAAATTTTTTCAAGTAATTTTGAAAATTTGCACCAAAACAATTTTTTTTCCAGCGCAAGTCGAATTTTGTACGCAAATAAACATTTTCTGAAAGAATTTTTTTTACATGCAAAATTTAATTTTTTGTGTGCATAACGTAGTCCTGGATACGATAATATTGGCTTTTTTTCTTTTCATCTAACTTTTTTTTTTCAAAAACGCTCAAAAATCATATTTCTTTTGTATGGCGTGTTTATGTATGCCTTGATCAATGTCTGATAATTTAAAAATTGACAAATTTAAAAAATAATCATTGAAAGAAGAATTTTGTCAAAAATTAAAAGTTTGTTACTTTTTTATATGATTTGTGGAAGACAGTTGAGGTCGTCTTCAATGCTTTGAAATTGCCAGACCTTTCAACCTTTGGTGGTTTGAGTAACCAAGGTCTGTGTCACTTGTGTTCGGTTGCATACACAACCGCAAATTGTCAGAAAATAAATTTACGAACAAAAAACAACTTTTTGGTTTATGGCGAAAATACCTGTCATACAATTTCCATTTATGGGAAAATGCTTATCATAGAGTTTTCATACAATTTTCTGTACGTATGGAGTTGTATGAAAAGAAATGTCCCATTTTTGAGAGTTGTATGATAAGCATTTTTGGTCAACCCGGGTACTCAACTCCCAGGGCTTCAACCAAAAACTACCCCCAAATAAAATAATCCTAGCAGCCCTGCACCTTTCAAATATCTTTGACGTTGTTGATCATTGCAGCCTGATAGACTAAATTAACAATTCAACTCTTCCGAGTTCAATCCACCCCCGGGTAAGCGAATACCTGAGCTAAGACAGACAGAAACATAACTAAAAGATCACCTCACTTAAGCAAGATTAACCTACAGAGTCCAGGAAGGATCAGTACTTAACCCCACAATGTTCAAATTTTGTATAAATTGAAACACTTTTGCTACTCAACCACAAGCTGAAAAACCTCAAATCCAACTCAGTCCCATATTTCAAGTTTTCCACTCATTGCACAACTCAAACCACTACGGAGAAAAAGAAGCTCTCGCTGAAGGTTGTTGCAGGATCTAACTGGTGCCAAAGTGAGGAAACTCTGCTGGACACACCCCCCCCCCCCCCCGACGATGGCGATGAAAAAAAGGGTCTTCGAATACGCCGCACCAGACTGCGCCCAGAGCAAGATCAATTGCCTCACGAAAACAAAAATTAGTGCAAATTACAGCACTACTTACTGCAATTAGATACCATTGAAAAAGTACAAAAAGACCAATAACAAACCAAGTGTCAACTACTTACCAAAGCCCACCACATAAGTCTGCTCTCCTTGCAATGCTTTTCAAGATGCCCCACGAGTAGCCATCCGGTTATAAAAGCATTGCTTGCAAGAACCCTCGAATACGATTTAAACCCTTCTTCAAACGGTTCAGCGCACCCCTAGTGTCAAATATGATTGCTCCAAACGAAAACATAGACAAATGGACAAAAACAACGATCCACAAAGAACTACACATCGATGGATGTCGCATTACATAGAACAAGTCCCAAACAATTAAATTCTAAGCAAAACACCACCCCCGTTGTCTTCATCTGCAATTTAGTCCAATTTTGCTCACGCTACAACCCCTCTTGAACTTTCAACCAACTCGATACTGCTAACCAAGACATATGCCCTTACTGCTTTATTTTCCTCATAACACCTACCTCCTATTTTCCCGGCCCTCACTCCAATTCGACACTGGCTCATTGTCTCGGCTTCGAAAAATATAGCCATCTATTGATGTGGTGCCCAGTCATTAGAAAATGCTGCATTCAGGCACCATAGCTTGGCTGTTATAACAAGTACATCAAGTTTGACTCTATGTGATAAAAAGTTGCCAGGCTCCTTCATGGTTTTTATAATAAACAAGATTATAAGAAAAAAACTGAAGTTTAGAAAAAAAATGTTTATATTAATTTTAGATCATCAAATTTAGATCATGCAGAAGTACCATTCTAAAATATTAAGTATGATTCTAAAAAAAATTTTGGCACAATTTGATAGAAATGACAAAATTTCATTAGTTGCTTAGGTGTTTCAGTTCCGACTTTCCAAGAAAGAGGCGAAATAATTATGCTCGGGCAGATTTTTTTTCAGCAAATCAATCTTAAAACCAATTGAAAAGTATTGAAATTGTGAGCTCAAGCTCAAAAATAAATTAAAGATGAAAATGGTCAATTTGAAAATGAAGATTCGAAAATGGTCAATTTGTCTAATGTGGAACATTTTTGCGCAAGCTGTTTGGTGCTTTTAACTCGTAAGCAGATATTTAATCCTCATAAATTGATAAAAACTGATTGAGGCAAAACTTTTGATGTAAGAACAACGATAATAAACGCTAAGAAGGAAGATCACTTTGTACTTGGCATAGGGAAGAAGTATTTAGAAAAAGTCTTTTTTTTGTCTTGAAAATTTTAAATTTTTTTGCTAATTGATGTTTTCACAAAAAGTTTCCTAGGCATTGAAGGGCTTTGCCCTTATAGAAATTGTTTTGTCTACATTATGCCAACTTTTGAAGAGTGCGTGTAAAATTTGTGCTCGATGTAGTTTTGTTTCTACCAAAAAGTTTCGACATTTTAACTAGCCTTTTTTGAACTAGTTTTGTATACCATCTGCTGACTTGCATCAATATCTTGAGCTCAAATTTAACCGCTATATTTTATTCTATAAATATATGGCGGTTTGAAAATTGCAAGTTGTTTAATTGGGACCATTCACGAGTGATAGTTTTTTTTCCGACTTCCGAAGAAAATGGATTATTTATGCTTGGTGTGTTTTTTTATCCAGACAATTTTTGGCGATCGAAATCATAATAGTAAAAATAGTAAAATACCCCATTGAAGATATCGACTTCCTAAAATCGAATGTAAAACGAAACTTTACATCCGATGTTTTTTGCAAAATTGTGGGAGTTTAAGAATTGCCTACTTGGCTAAGCTGTGGACTAATTCAAGATTTTATTCATAATGCTGAAATCGTAACGCAAGTTGATTCTGAGTGGTGAACTATCCCGCAGAACAAACTCGTTCCAAACTGGGTTGCGGCTAGCTAGTTGGTTGTTTTAATTTCTCGTGACTCAAATTATCACATTTAGTTTTTGAATTTGTCCAAATTTTATAGTTTTTCAATATTTTCATTTCCCAAAACTGAATCGATACGGCTCAAAACTTGCTTCAATTTGCTTAGCAGCCAGCTATCTGATTTTATCAATATGTTTTGCTAGAAGCGATTTACATAATTTCAGATGGCTTGCTGCTAACTAAACTGAAACTTGAGCCGTATCGAATAAGTTTTGGGAAAAGTAAATAATAAAAAACTGCAGACTTTGAACAAAATCAGAGACCAAGTGTGAAAATTTGACTCACAAGACATAATGCAACCAACTAGTAAGCCACAACTCATTTTGTAATTTACATAGCCTTTAAAATTGAAAACTTTTTCTCAACTTTTTTTTGAACTTTTATCATTTTTTGAATTTCTCAAAAGCATGACTTATTTCTGAGATCTTAAGGGGCAGCGGCAATATTTAGATCCTTGTCGCGATACAAGTATTTGTGCTTATATATTAATTGATTGTTACTCGTTAACTTGCCGCTGATAACGCAAGCTTAAAATTTTACGCGGATAACTACTTTTTGTCGCGCGACAAAACCTGCTATTTGCAACAAAAAAACTCAAATGTTTCTGATTTTGACAACAAAATGGCTTTCTGGATCTTCTTTCAAAGAATCTTGATGGACTACGGAAGTAGATTTGCTGGTAAAAAAATTATGAAACTAAGCGTAAACTAGATAAGCGGTTAGTCTAATTCTTCAAGAATAAGTATACAGTAAACGAATTTTTCAAAAATAGTTTTGTTTCAGATGGAGGAAGCTGTGGTCAATGAAAATACAAACAGCCTGAAAATGGAGACTTATTTAGAGAAGCATACAAACATTTTGACAATATTTCCACGAGCGCCTTGCTCATTTTCAGACGAGCCCGAAATTGTGAGCAACTTGTTTAATAAGTTTTCAATCGACTTTCTACATCACGAGAACTGTTCGGGTTTTGTAATCTGTCAATCAGATCAACCCAACGCAACTTCTGAAAACAGCATTAGCCGTCAATCCTCTTGGTTCATTCCTGCTCCTCATTTCAGCCAAATAGTGCTGATTAAACGAATTCATCGTTTCGGAGAATCTCTTGAAGCGGTAATCGGAAGTCATATTTCATCACAACTCAGTCAACTTAATCTAACGTTCAAAAACGAAAAAGTAGATAAAATACCAATAGTTATACTCTTTATTTTTATAGTTCAGCACCCTAACAAGGAATTGGAAAACTGCAACGCCATACTTGATCAAATTACAAAATTCGTCAGCATTCAGGAATTCGAGAAACTGGACATTTTGTTTAGATTTCTTTTCAAAAATAAGAGCTCCCACCCGGGCTTGGACTCGAAAAAGGAAAGACAAAAATTGAAAAATTTAATTTCTGTTCAGAAAGAAAATTTGGAGATAAAGAAGTCAATTTTTGAATTCTTGCAAGTGCACGACAGCGAAGTTAACCTTCAAATAAGTACAAAAAAGTTCAAAAAAATTGGAAGCGCTGAAATTACACTTGCCGATTTTGACGAAGTTGTTTACTTGTATAAGTTATATTTCCCAGCCAAAGACCATAGCTTAGAAACTTTACCCAGCAAGATGTGGGAAACAGATAGTTTGCTATACAAAACAGGTCACCGAGGAGAGTTGCTAGAAAGTAGCGAGGGATATTTTGGCGAGATGAAAGATTTTTGGGAGAACTACGTAACCAAATTATCGAATCCTGTAGGCCTACTAATCAAGTCTTATTCTAATGCTCATGTGAATGCAATTCTTCATCGACCAGTGTTTAGTAATCAACTGGATATTGACTGGATTTATTGTGGGCATAAGATGATATTGGCAATTGAAATCGGACGCACAAACTTGCCCGAAAGCCCAATTTACTCAATTTGCAATAAACTTGAACAAGTTTTGGGCAAGATTTTACCCTCGACCTTTTTAGCCCTCCATGCGATTTTTCGAAGCTTTCCCAAAAACATAAGAAAGAAAGAAAACGAGGAATACAGCAAAACATTTTGGCTTTTTGTAAGAAGATCTTTTCGGTTTGTCATTTTTTTCCCAAATTTGTCCGCTAAAAGTTTTAAAGAAGTTATCCAAGCATCAAGGGAGCCCTTGGACAAAAAAGCAAGACAAAAAACGATAGGATATCGGAAAATATTTAGCCTTATTTCGACTGCTAAGCAATACCGACTTTCCAGCATTCTCTTTCTAATGCACGAAGATCTACACTCAACAGCAAAGCCAAAAACATTTTATGTTGACAAGGATCTCAATATTTCAGAAAGCCGAATACAAGTTACGGAAGTTTTCCAAGCGAAAGTGAATTATAGAAACCCAAAACCCAAATATAAATTATTGGAATTTGTTTCGGGTATTTTTGCTCTGAGTACTTTGATAAAGAAGGAGATTTTTCCGTCAAGTGCCGACAAAACTAACACTCCACGTGATCAAAAAAATTTGCAGGACCAGAAAGTGTTTTTGAAACAAAAAAATTTAGTTTTCAACGAGTTTCTGGATGTGGTTTTGAGCCCCCAGCAACATCGGATCTTATCCGAGAACAAACGCCGAGTGCTGATTGCGGGTGAGCCGGGTTCCGGCAAAACTTCTCTATTGTTAGCCAAGGCTCAAATAGCAGCTTACGACAGCAAGATAGAACACATATTATTTGCAATTCCAGAAGAGAAAACCCAGTTTAAGGATTTCCTTTTAGACTTCGTGAACAAACGGGGTAACGAGAGACTGAAATCGAAGTTCATTTTGGCCACCTTTGAAGAAATGTCTAACCCGAGTCTGCGACGTCCAAACTGGTGAGTCTGCATCCGTCTACTACCATTTTCAATTCAGATTTTCCAGGCTCGACTTTTTTTTTACCGTTCTCCTCACCCACCACCAACATATATAGATTTTTTGCGTTAACGAATAATTTAAAACGATTGTAGATGAAGACCACATATATTTGGAGTGGCGTAAATACCACGCCTGCCATGTATGAAACAAGGTTAACCTAGGCTCCAATTGGTTCAAATGACAGACAAGGGGCAGTAAAAGAGCGGCAAGCTCCCTCAAAAATTGACATCACTATGATTTGGCATAATTTTCTTCCAGAAGCCAGCGCAAATTTACACAACAGTTTTATCAAAAAGAATTATAGCCCTTTGGAGTTTTCCAATTTGAAAACCAGTAAAATTTCAAAGCCGCTTCTTTGCCGGTCTTGTTGGGTTTGAAGAAAAATTGGAGACAAAACCAATACACATCATGTGCAAAAACCTTTGCCTCGACGGCCGTTAAAATTTTTTTTGCGAACAACATTGACTTTGGAAGTACTATCATCTAAATCTAATGTGATACAACTATTCATTACTTTGTGGCCAAATTTTTAGTTGATTGGGAGTGAGCGTTGTGGCTTTGTTTTAGCTTCTAGTCTAAGTAGTTTGGCTTCTGGTTATTAACTGGTTGAATATTACCGAACAACCAGTAACAGTCTAGGACTGATTTCAATTATCAGAACAAAACACATAAAACTTGAAATTGAAAATTCGGTTCTCTCAAGTTGGGTTGATTTAAGGTTAAAAGGATGAAGTTTTGCGAGGTTCGGACCTGAGGTTTTATCCCGAAACGGATCAAACTTCTTTTTTTAGTCAGTCAAAATTTACGCAAAACTTTTGAGTCAAAAGCTGACCATACTATATCAAAGTGAGCCTTTTACCCAGCAAAAAAAATAAGAATTTTATAATCTCCAAATTATTGCGCTAAACGTTGAAAACGTTCTCTCACCCTATGAGTAGAAAAAAATAAATTAAGTTAAACACTTTTTTTGGAGATTATACTATTCTTAAACTATTTTGTAATGAATGAGCGGCTCACTGTGATATACTTTTGCCATATTTGAATCAATACATTTGGCGTAATTTTTGATTGATCAAAAATGTCAAAAGTGATTCGTTTTTTGCAAAACTTTTCAGCAAGTTTTGTTATCATCGTTTCTCACCAAAAGTCGATCCAGTTATAGAAAAGAGCTCTTTAATTTTTATGTCTTTCCGTTTTGCCGGATAGTTCAAATCAGCACTGAATAACAAAAGTAAGTTGCTGCGCGAGTAGAACAGAACTTTCCAATCAAAACAAATAAACTAAACGAATTTCAAAAAAATTTGCAAAAAATAATTTGAAAAACTTTCTCAAAATTGATTTGATTTTTCAGAAAAAAAAACAATTGAAGGAGAAACTACTATAATGGGAAACAGCAATGTCTTAAACACTGATCAAATTATGGCAGAATCAAACTGAGGAGATCAATTCTTAAACAGTTTTAGTCTAATTCAAACTGAAAATCTTCAAACTTCGACAAATAGACTTTTTTGAAAATTTTTAATAATTCAAAGCACGGTCAGCAGGTTTTCAAAAATATTCATACATTTTACTCCTAAGAAACTCAAAAGTGGCTGGAAAATGTTTTAAGATGGACCCTACGCCATATCTGCTTTCCAATCTTCGAGAATGGTCGTAAATAAAAAATTAAATACCATCGCGTTACCCATATCGATGCCCTCTTGGTATTTTGCAGTATGTGCTGGAAATAAAAAGAAAAAGGGGAAAAATACAAATTTTTTTTTGAAAAAATTGCCCATTTCTATTGTGCCATGTGATGTCTTCAAAAACAATTCTTGTCGTTAAAAATCAGTCGATTTTACTTTGATGCGAGCAGTCTTGTTCAAATGAAAGTATTTTTAGACAATGAGGTTATCTTTATACTGCGTATTTATAAATATATTCCAGTATAAACATTTTTTTTGTCTTTTACAGCAAGGTTGTTGATGTGATACTTTTGAATTTGCATTTTGAGAGCCTGATTGACATGTTTTCAATTCCCTGAGTTTAGTTTGAAGCTTTATTGGAGTTTAACCTTGTTGTTTTTGGTTAAAAAAAAACATTGAATAATTTGTTCCGGGAGGAAAAAAGATTACACATTTCCTGAAAAATGCCCAAAAATTTTGTGATGTTAATTTGTGCGTTTTGTGCGTTTGTTTTGTGCGTTTATTTTATACTTTTTGTAGTAATTATGAAATAGTAAAAAAAAACAAGTAAAGCCGGTTACTGTGCAAGAAGCACAGAATTTTCCGACCAGTCGTGTGATAAAAAGATCTGAACGGAAAAATAACACGTTAGGCATATTCGACATTTATAGTTAAATTGGCCTATTGGAAAGCAATTTTTAAACAAAAGTTATTAGGAAAACGGAAAAAAAATGCTAAAAAATTCGAAAAAATTTCGAAAACTTTTTTTGCAGAAGTTTTTTGCAGTTTGAAATTTTTGATTTGAAAATTGGCGGTATAAATTTCGGAAAACTAACTTCAATCAATTATTACTAAACACTCACGGCTTAAATTAAGCATAAATAATATTTTGTAAGTCGGCTTAGCCTCACCCATGCTAACAGAAAATGGGTTCCAGCGATTTAATATCGATATGTTGATTCAAAAATGTAGATTGAAAATCAATTTCCATGGATTTTAAATCGACTCAAATAGTTTTTATCATCTTTTTGCTTTCATTTTCTTACAAATTTTTGTACCAACCAAATCAGTTAAAATTGGTTTAAATCGATGTTTAACTCCTTTTTTTTCATACTCAGTTAGTACCAATTATATACAGATGATATTCAGGTTTTCTAGACTATCAAACAATAGAGAAATAGAGGAAACAAAATTTTAACTTATGTTTTCCATTTCATTTTTCGTTTTGATGTTTGGCCTGAAATTAAATTATGAGGAAAACTAACATCTAATTTAAATGCACCAAAATGAAGTTTTTTTAATCATATGTTATCTGCCTAACAAAAATGATCCTAGAAAGTCGATAATGAAAATGAAGTTTCGAAAAATCTTTGCTAGTCTTAGTTTTCATTACCGCGGGAACCCTTTTTTTAGCACAATTTGAAAAGGAAAACTTTAAACGCAATAGTTTAAAAAAACTGTCCTCGAGTGACTCTTGCTTTCTTTAGCTCTGATTGAGATTTTTTTAGCGCACAAAGTTGCTAAGTTTTGCAACATAAAGAATAGTTAAGCTAAATTTTTGTTGTAGAAACAGTTTTGTTGAGACTTGATGATTTTCACTACCTTGCGAAAATCCATTTATTTTTCAATTTTTATGCACTAAAATCGATTTTTTTCCTATCGTAAAAATCCATTTAATCCATTCGAAATCGATTTACGTATCTAAAGGGGCTATCGTACATCGATCTCTTCACAGCATACTTTATGTATAAAATCGATTTAAATCAATTTCAAACTCAATCTTGTCTGTGTGGGCACCTTGTATGCCTCAAATTAAACCAAAAATCAAAAATTTCAAGCTGGTTTTTCTCGACACTGAGAAATTTTTTCAAGTTTTCTTAAAGTTGTTCGAATCACGACTAAAAGGTTCTTCATTCGACCCCTTCTGATGATTAATTGTGGCAGCTGATTTTGCGTAGAAAAGAAACAAAAGAAAAAACTAAAACACACCCGAATACAAAGCTCCTCCCCATTTTTCAAATGGTCCTACCAATTACGTGTCTGGGATGATGTTTAAGGCCTTCATTGAAACAACTTCATCGTTCCATTTTACTGATGGACGAGATATACATGACATCTGTGAGTTCCTTTTCAAAGTTGGATCAAAACCTCATGTTGCAAGCTTACCTGCTAGTTTTGCCTCACGTCCAACAGTTATTTAGCACCAACGTCGTTGCGGGACAGATGGAAAAGCGCCGAGGCCTAACTCAGTTTGTACTACCCCACGGCTGTATATTTGAACCTTTGAACATCCTTTTTCGGAGCTCCCATCATATAAGTGCGTTTTCGACCGGATTTATTCATACAACTAAACCGGTAACAAGAACCAGTGCAAGAGTTTCCGGGTGCTTTACCTCGCCCCAAACCGAAATAATAGCTCACTACTTCTCCAAGCGCGATGATCCAATTTTCTCAAACTCAACACTTATGAACCCATGTTTCGAATCTGACCGTCGGGCAATAATATTCAGTGTTGATAAAACCTTTTGGACCGAAAAGTTTTCTAACGAACGAAAGGATGTTTCAAACGTGTTAGTGGTACCTCCTATCATAGATTTCTACGAAGCACCTTTCACAGGATGTGAAGCCTTTTCTGTTATAGTTATCGTTGACGACATGTTAGAAGCAAAACATGACAACAAAATGTTTATAATTCTGAACCTTGCCATAACCAGAGCCCAATACGAGGTCATGATAATTGTGAGAGATATATTTAAGAAAAGGGTGGAAAAGTTCATCAGGAGACCATCGCGGCTAGATCGGCTTCTGATGGACGCAGCGAATCAACTTCCGGTGGATATCACTTTTCTAAGAACGGTAAAGTGGAGCAGGAATATGATCAATTTTGTGCAAAAGTTGACCCGGATTGCAATTCAAAGGGCAGACGAACGTCTGTTAGGGTCAATACTGGAGAAAGTGCCAGCGATCAGAATACCAATAGGGCGAACTTGAATCAATTATATTACAAGGGGCGAATCTAGGGTTTTATCGAATGAAGCCTAACGTTAAACTTTTTTGGTCTGGGCGTAACATTCTATTGATCACTGAATTCCTTGTTCTTCAGATATGTTAGAAAACGTACAATCTGACTAAGCAATTAAGTAAATAACTAACCCGGAACCCAAGAAAAACTACAATTGATAAATCCAAAAAAAAAGTAAATTTCGATCATCATAAAAATCAAATATCGTTAGTAACTATTGTAACATTATTGATCTATCATAACCATTTTGATCTAAGCTGATTTAAAATTTTCCCGATTTAGAGGCTGACTATCATAAAATGCCAATTGTTTCTGGTTGACCAAATTGGTTCTCCGAACTCTACCAACACGATGAAAATTTCTATCTGTTAAAGAATTTAGCGCTGCTAGCAAGTTTCCAAATATATTGGCTGGCACGCAAACTTTGAATTTTTTCCGCTAGTCCTTCAAACTGAAATATATAGCTTATCGCCCAAAACGCTTAGATAAAACACTCGTATCGAGATTTCATTGATTATTACCAAAAGGGGACCCTTTGAAAGGGAAGCAGCGAAGTACTCAAAATTCTGAGGGTTGAGGGGAGTATATTTTTGAAGTACTCAAAAATCTGAGGGTTGGGGGTAGTATATTTTTGAAGGACTCAAAATTTTGAGGGTTGGGGGCAATATGATTTTGCTACTGTTTGATTTTGATTGAAATTCGCCTGGTTGTCGCTGTGCAGACACAATACTTGGTGCGTTAGATGAGCCCAAACCAGCCAAGTTTCTAGATTACGTCGGCCGGAGGATTGGAGCACAGGTGAGAAGTAGAGTCATGTGGAGTCTTAGTCTACAGAGGGCAGCTCCGAGGGTCTACAAGTCTGTGGGATTATTCAATGTAACAGGTTAGAGCTATGCCTCAAAAAATTTCGCAGCTAGAAATAATCAAATTCAAAAAAAAATTATGAATGACCAAATTTACGAAACGCTCCAATTGTCACACGATGAATGAACTCATTTTCAAAAGATGTAAGTACAGCTTTCTGAAAAACTGGGAGCAGTAGGAAGGAATAAGGGAACTCGAAGTTTTTTAGGTATCAGAAAATTTGTAGGTCTTCCTTTTTGGTATCAAATAAAAAGGGTGATAGTTTGCATTCCGAACATAAATATATTTTTTCTAGTTGCGCAGCTCAAACGCAACATTCTAGTTACACAACAAGTTAACGCGTTTTTTTTGCTTAAAAGATAGAACAGATGAAAATGAATTTTAAGAAAAATTGGATAACTGTGCAGAGCGTTGAATCATTTTGAAAGTTGCAAGTCGCAAAACTTCAAATTAAGCGACAAATAAAAACGCTGTGGGGTTTAATTTGAGAAATTTATAATTGAAAAAAAAAAATCCGTTTGCGACAAAGTTGGATGGAATTGCGTGTTAGTTTTGTCAGGTCTAAAAAAATTTTCTTCGCGTTTCTTTGTATTATCGACCCAGTTTTGTGATTTAATGCTTCGGCGAGGAGAAAGGATATAATCTTATTTAGGCGTATTATAATCATTTCATAGCGTAATCCAATTCACCTGCTTTAAATAGTTTTTTATTATTTTCTTCGATCAATTTAAAAACAAGCTTTTTGTAAACATAGAGACATTTATGCCATAAAATTTCCTTGTAACTGACACACTCTATGAGTTGATTTACCCGCCATTAATTTAACTGTTTCACATACCCTATTCAAATGTCGTAGAATTGAACAAGATACCTTAAAAAAATCCTTTACAAGTGTGCTGACTGATCTTCGAAATTGTTCACTATATATTACTTTATTGTTCCGACTTTCGAAACGAAAGTAACGGAATATTTGTGCTCGGGTGGGTTTTTTTTCTTCAGACAAATTTCGACTTTTTAACTAGCCATTTTTTCCGGAATTTTTTTATATCATTCAAAAGCTATTGTTGCCCTGAGCTTAAGTTTGAAAGATATTTCACCTGTGACCATTTTTCGTAAAGTTATGCGGGTTTAAAGATTGTAATTTTGGGATAAATAGCGCGCGATATACTTCGCGCTATTAAAGCGTAAGCGGAGATTTAATCCGTCTTAGAAATTGTTCGAAATTGGTTGAAGGAAGCTTATTTGCCATAATTGGTTCGTTACTAGAAGCGAAATTTATCATTTTGTATTTTATATGGCGTGTGGGGAATAGTTTTCACAAAAAAACTCAAATAAGAAAAAATTTCAATTTATTTACTTTTTTGCATCAAGTTTTTTCATTTTGTTTCATTTCATTAAATTTTTTAAATGTTATTACTGCTTCATAGACCTTAAAAGGCAATCGGAACATTCAGGGCTTCGCCCTAATACGAGCAGTCTTGTTTTCCTTTCAAACTAAATTTTTGTTTTTTTTTTCCTGCAAACGTGTATCAATTGTGTGCTCCAAGTTGCTTGATTTACAAAATTGCTCTGCAACTGCAAACAAGTTAAATGCGATTTTTGCCCTCCTAATCAGTCAATGAGATTTCAAGTTGAAAGAATAACAATGCTGCTCGTACCAGGCCAAAGCGCTGATTGTTCCGATTGCATTTCAGGTACTATCAACGAGTGCCAGCGTGTATTCTACACCAAGGAAATAAATTTTCAAAAAAACATAGATTTTCAGAATTTCCTTCAATACGCTATGCAAAGTACAAGGGAAATATTGTTCGCATATAGCAAAGTATTAAAAAGACCAAATAAAATGCATCAATTCAATTCGGTAAAAAAACCTAAGACGGATTAATTCTCCCTTTACGCGTTAATGCGCGAAAAATACGGCGTGTTAAGTATCCCAAATTGGCTAACTTTACAAAACATGATCACAGATGAAACATCTTCTTAATTTGAGCTCGAGAGAACAATGACAATTAGGAGAAATAGAGATCAAGCAATTATCACTATCAGCTGTCAGATGAACTGTCGAAAAACTTTTCAGGTATAAATTCTAGGATTTATTTTAGGTTTAAACTGCTCGGGTCAGGGCAAAGAACATTTACTTTGCCGCTTAAGCTTCAATTTGAAAATCGTAATCCATTAATTATCACAAACTGGCCAGTTGGCACGTTTCAAAACCCAATAATTTTACAAAAAAATAAAAACAGGTTAAATATATCTTTTAACTTGTAAGCTAAGCACATCACAAGCTTCCGAATGATATTTTAAAAATCTCATCTAATTCTGTTCCTTAAAAATTCGAAATTTGGCTTATGCAACATCAAGCAAAGCGCTATTTTTCAGTCACTTTCATTTAAAACCGGGTCAATAAATAGTTGGCATGAAAGTGTTTCTCCTCGTACGCGTTATTATTCCGACTTTCGATACGAAAGTAACGGAATATTTGTGCTCGGGATGGGTTTTTTTCTTCAGGCAAATTTCGACTTTTTAACTAGCCATTTTCGACGGAACTTTTTATATCATTCAAAAAGTATTGTTGTCATGAGCTTAAATTTGAAAAGATATTTCACCTGAGATCATTTTTCGTAAAGTTATGAGGGTTTAAAAGTTGCCATTTTGACCAATTTGGGACAATTAACGCGCGATATAATTCGAGACATTAACGCGCAAGCGGAGATTTAATCCGTCTTAGAAATCGTTCCGAATGGGTTGAAAGAAGCATATTCGCCATAATTGGTTTGTTGCAATGAACGAAATCTATTCTTTTGTACTTTATATGGCGTGATTTTCATAAAAAGTTTCAAATTAAAAAAAATTCATTTTATTTTATTTCAATTAATTTTTTAAAGTTATTACTGTTCCATAAACCTTAAAGGCAGTCGGAACATTCAAGGCTTCGCCCTGATCCGAGCAGTCTTGTTTTTATAAGAAACAGGAAAAGGGAGTAAATTTTTTGTCCAGCCATGCCTAATTTAAGTGAATGTTTTGTCTGTTAGGAACTCTCTTCTCTAGCTACAAAATCAGGTATTTAAAAGAGCGGATGGATTCTTTTGGCAAAACCTTTGGCGAATGGTCATACGCACTGAAATGAACTGCATGTTTTTACTGCTAGTTCACTTTTCTGAAATAAAAACGTGAAAATTTCATATAATTTTCTTTTAAAAAAAATTTAAAACTTTGGTAGGAATTCCAGACACAAACAATATTCAGTTTAAACTGATATAGTTTGCTGTCAGTGCGGAGTTAAGGGTTTTAATCAACATTACTAACTCAATTCATTGTGAAGTGTTTGTTCGCGCCCGATATTTTTACTGGGCTCAAAAAAACTCATACCTACGTGTCAAAATAAAAAAAAATGGGAAAGCAAAAAAAAAAACGCCGGTAATTGGCCAAATGTTTAAAATTCCATTATGTATGAGAAATTGTGAGACATTTTTAAAAATTTTTTACTCAAAGCGTTGATATCCCAATTTATTGCAAGCATGAATGTCAAAAATAATGGCCTCGATTGTCGTTATAATTCCAAATAAAACCACCTGAAGCATAAGTTTTTCATTAGTTTCTTTTCGAATATAATTGATTTAATGACCAACGCAATAACAACTCGTTTACAACGCAAAGAATTTATCCGGCATAATTTCGTGGAAAAATTAACGAAAAATTTCTTTCTGTGTTTGTTTAACCCGCACCGGAGTTCCATGGATAATAATCGATTATAATGGAAAGTTGTTGTCTAAAATGTTGTCATTATAATCCATTATTGTGGTAAACTTAGACCACCAAATCGATTATGTTGTCATTATAATCGATAATTTTCATAAAAACACAATCCATTAATATACATTATAATGGATTATAATCCATTTAAAGTCCATTATAATTGATTATAACGGATTATAATATATACTTTTTTTGCAAAATCTTTTGCAAAACTTGCAACATTTCTGCGTTATTCACGACCTACTCGCAATCTAAACACACCCCCCCCCCCCCCCCCCCCCCAATTTGATACCCATCCGCATTTGCCCAAACCCCCTACCCCCACTCCCCTACGTTTTTACTATTTTGAACGGGGACGGGGGAGGGAGTATACTCAGTTGTTCAGGTTACCTTCCCCACATTTTTAACCCCCCCACGTTTAGTAGACGGGGGGGGGGTTTAAAATTAAGATGGGGTGCAAATTGAAGTAGGGTAAACAAACAGAGGGGAGGGGTAAACTGGGGGGGATGTAACTCATAAACCCCCTCCCCCAAAATCTACCAATAAATAACCCCCATAAAGGGGGGGGGGGGGCTTGTGAAGGTTGTGTTAAATTGGCAGGGATGTGGGGGGGGGGGGAGGTTAAACGGGGTTCGGGTGGGGGGGGGTTTAAACAGAGAGGAAAATGGGGGGGGGGGGTAAACAGGGAGGGGGTAAACGGGGTTTATAAGACAAAAACTATAAAAATTGAAAAGTGAAATGTAACAATTCATGAAACCTAATACGTAGCAACTCCACTAAAACGGAACCAAGTAAGTAATTGCGATAACTTTGAAAAAAAGTAGTAAATATCATGACTAACCTCACGAAAAAATTCATTATAATTGATTATAACCGATTATAAGGGATTATTGGAACCTGATCTAAATTACATTTTATAATTGGATAAATTGGAAATTTTACCACTGTAAAATATTTAATATTAACCAATCATAATCCATCCAACTAACAACCCACTTATTTGTAAGTGCTGAAATTACTTGTAATTTCAGCA